TGCTTGACAGAGCCTTCCTGAGGTTACCTCAACCTCCCCTCCCTCCAGCCTCCTCTCTTCCATTTCAGACATGGTCTCACCTAAGCTGAGAGAAGCTTGGACCCCAAGATACTCGGGAAGCATTTGGGCACTCCCCATTTTGGTCCCTGATATATTCCAATTTCTCTATTTCCTTTGCTATGCTGGATCCCTGATTCAAGGATGCTTGCATCCTTGCAAGGCAATGATCCATAGCTTTTTGGAGTCACAGACCCCTCTGAGAATGCCTGGAGTGAGCTATGAACAAAAATGCTCAGAGATTGTCCTCAGTCACCCTGAAACCATCACAGGCTCCATGGAATGCCGGTGAAGAAGCTCTGCCATGAGAAGCAGCAGGTGGGGGTTTGGAGGCGGGAAAGGCTGAGGACAGGCCTGCCTGTACTCTCCCGGGTCCATCATAGGCACGGAGAAAAGGCTGGGAAGGACTATGGGACAGAGTGGATGTTAGCACAGATCAGAGCAGCCCTCCCCTCCCCTGTTCCCCTCCTCCTACCAGCTTCTATCTCTCAGGGGGAGGCAGGAGACTTCGGGGTGGGGAGGGACTTTTGCTCAAAGAAGTGAGTGTGGTGGTGATTCAGGATGGAGAGCATTTGATACCAGAGACTCCTGAGTCCTCTTCCTCCAAACTGCTCTGTAAGGAAAATTAAGGAGGAAGACATAGAGCTGAGTGGTGGAGGCCAGAGAAGCAGAGGACACCCGCCACAATCCATCAATCTGATCTAAAGACTAAAGAGCAGCACAACATAGTTGCTGATACTAAGGCCCACCCTCTGGGTTGCTGGTTTCAGATGCAGAGCCTTGAGTCATGGGGGAGGAAGAGGTAACCCCTTCAATAGACAAAGGGAGAAATGAGTGCTGTTTTCTAAAAATCCAGATAGTGGAATACTGTTTGCCTGGATTGTTTGCCTGTTGTCCAAGAAGGGCATTCTGTGAGCAGCAAAGGCTTTGGAACCCCTACTGCCCAGGCTTCTAGCTAAAGTCCACTCTCCTGCTTGGCTTATTGAATGGAAACACCTGCTCACTGAATGCTCTGGAAAACCCAGACCTTACGTTAACTGGTACCACCTACTCCTGCACCCTGTTTAGAACACCCTTCAAGGAAGGAGGACAGACTCTTCAGAACTGAAGATGAGGACACAAAAATCGCAATTCACCCAATCCCAGCCTCATAACCCAATCTTTCAATCCTGACTGGGGCTCTTGGAGGGGTGCGTGAGAGGACAAATCCCAAATAGGATTTGAGAGTTTGGAACCCTCTCACCTAAAACTATCCCTTCTACTGACCGACCTCCCTGCTCAGCCAATTAGAAGTTCTTTAGAAGGCAACACGCCTTCAAAAATTTTCTGGGAAAAGTGATTACACCTGGTTTTCTGCTGCTCTGATTACGAAATTCCTCCTGTGGCTAATTTGTAATCCTTCTTTTTGGACTTCCACTTCATATCCTTTTTGCCTACCACCTCCTATTGGAACTAGAAGATAATGGGTCCATAAAGCAGGCGTGCACTTTTTATAGCAACAATGGACATTCTTCCTTAGGTCTGAACTACTCGTCTACATTTTTAAAAGTAAAAGTGGCTATTGCAACCAAGGCACTCAAATACTGAGGAATAATCTTAACAAGAAATATGTAAAGTCTATATGACAAAAACTTTAAAATGCTTCTGATGGCACACCAATGGCTTAGATGTGTATATAGGAAGATTCTGTATCACAAATAAATTCTCCCTTGGGTAATCTAACAATATGTGGTTCCAATCAAAATAAAATTAACAGCACAATCAAAAAGTACCTTGGGGTATGTTCTCGCAATATACTACACAGTAATGAGAACAAATGGACTAAAACTACACACAACAATATGGCTGAATCTCACAAAAAAATCCAGACTAGAGACAAAACTAGTTTGTGCTATTAGAAGTCAGAAGAGCAGTTTACCCTTGAGGGGAGTAGTGACTGAGAAGGAACACAAAGGTGGCTTTGGGCACGGTGGTAAAGTTCTGTTTCTTGATCTGGTGTTGGTTACACAAATGTGTTACATTTTTGAAAATTCATCAAGATGTATTCTTTTCATCTGTGCACTTTTCTATATGTATATTATACATCAACTTTTAAAATTTTGATGAGAAAACACATAATATACATCAATTTTAAAAACCAGTATGGTACTAGAATTGAAAAGACATCAACGGAACACGAAAAATCCAGAAACAGACTTGAATACATATGGCAATTTGAGTCTTATAAAGGTAGCATTCAAAAAAAAAATGGAGGAAATATGGGTTTATTCAATAAGTAGACATGGATAAAACAAAACTAAGTTGGATCTCTATCTCATACTTTTACACCAAAATAAATTCCAGGAGAATGTTTACATGCTATTAAAATAGTTTTTAAAAACACAGGATAATTTCTTAATAACCTTAGTAGGAGGCTTTTCTAAATATTATAGGAAACCCAGAAGTTATTTAAAAAATGGTGACAAGGGGCGCCTGGGTGGCTCAGTCGTTAAGCGTCTGCTTTTGGCTCAGGTCATGATCCCAGGGTCCTGGGATTGAGCCCCGCATCAGGATCCCTGCTCAGCGGGAAGCCTGCTTCTCCCTCTCCCACTCCCCCTGCTTGTGTTCCTGCTCTCGCTATCTCTCTGTCAAATAAGTAAATAAAATCTTTAAAAAAAAAAATAAAAATAAAAAATGGTGACAAATACATAAAAATAAAAATATTTGCATAGCAAAAATACCACCATAAGCAAAGTAAAAAGACATAGAACAAACTGAGAAAAGCTATAACTATTTTTAACTTGTATATGAACAAAGAGCAAATATTAAGACCTAATTACCAATATAAATATGAACAAAGAATATGAACAATTTACAAAAAAAAATACAACTGCCACTTAAACGTATTAAAAGATGCTCAACCTGACTTAAATGGAAATTAGGGGCTCCTGGGTGGCTCAGTCGGTTGAGTGTCCTACTCTTGATTTCAGCGTAGGTCATGATCTCAGAGTCCTGAGATCGAACCCCATTGGGGCTCTGTGCTCAGCGGGGTGTCTACTTGAGATTTTCTCTCTCTCCCTCTGTCCCTCCCTCCTTGCTCTCTCGCTCTCTCACATTCTAAAATAAATCTTTAAAGAAAAAAAGAAATGGAAATTAAAATTATAATAAGATACCATTTACACTAGGAGATTGTCAAAAATCAGAAAGCATAAGTATGTTATCAAACAGGTCCTTTTCATACATTGCTGATGGGAGAGAATTTAAAGCTTCTGTGGAAGGCAGTTTAGCAATACATACTACCTACCAAATTTTTTTTAAAACATCGCTGAGGGAATGAAAATGAGAAAAGTTTTTGGGAATTTGCAAAATTGTATCTATCCAAATGAAAAACAATGCACACACTTCCTTGACCTAGTATTGGCAGCCCTAAGGATTTATTATACAAATAAACAAGAGCCAGATGAAATATACTTGGGTATCAATATAATGTGAAAGGACTGGTTAAATATATCTTAATACATCCCTCAGGCTTACTGTGAAACTATGAAGCAGGTACATGTGCTGCTGTGGTAAGCTATCTATATAGGCTATATAAAAGGAAATTGCAAAAACAGTACAGATAATAAGTTATCGACTGAGTAAAATATATATAAATATCAATATATACAATATGTGCATGTTTACTATAGAATATCTTGTGAAAAAAATTTACAAGAATGTGGTAAAACTGGTTGCCTCTTGAGGAAAGAGAGACCTTATTCACTGTAATAACCTTTTATGCCTATGAATTTTGTAGAATGTGTATTACTTATTCAAAATGTACATTTTAAAAATTAATACAAAACGGAAACCTGAGGCCCAAAGGCATCGCCCTAGATGACCAAAGATATAATCTGGCGTTCCTTCAACGTCCACTGAGTGCTCATCGTGAGCCAGACAGAGTGATAGAAGATAGTGCAAAAGACCTCCACGTTACCAGGAGCCTGAGTGGCTCCTGGTGCGGGGTCCGGCTCGCGAGGCTCCCCGCCGCTCAGCGGCGGGAGCACCGCCCAACCGTCCTTAACGGTGCAGGGTCCCGGACGGCGGCTGGAATGCCCTCTTCCGAAGGAAACCGCCTCCTGGGAAAGCCCACCCCCTTCACCACCCTCCACAGAAACGGTCCCCTGGCTTGTGCCTTTGCGCCGGTCGCCCGACCCGTTCCCCTCGATCCCTAGGGCAAGGCGAGCCCCTGACGCCCGCACTACCCGTAGCTCCCTTACCACGGCGCGCTCAAACTCGGGTCCCGCTCCATCTCTCCTGCTGCCGTATCCGTCTTCATCGTCTGTTCACTCCTCCGAGCAGCTCCTTTCCGTCAACCTCTCCACCTCTGCCAAGCTGTTTCATGTTTTCAAAAAAAAAAAAAAAATGTTTTCCATGCCTCCTGAGTCCCTGCCACAGTATTAGGACCAATCAAGGCAAAGGATCACAGAGGAAACAAGCAGCGGAGCATCGCCCATCTTGAAGCTGCTTTCCCCTCGGTAACTGGGGTGTCGGGTGGCACTGGCTTTGTACAAAGGCACTAATTTTTTGCGAGCGGTGACACGCATGAGTGACTCCACGCCCTCGCACCTCCGTCCCAGACTCAGGAGCGCTGATTATGCCCCACAGAGGAGGTGGAAGCTTCCTCGGTAATTGGACTAGAGGTGGGCTGGGAGGACTCCGTGAAGCCTCTAATTGGCTGTTTAATTCTCAGCAGGTGCAGTCTCAATTAACAACGTCTGATCTCCCGGGCTCCTATTGGCTGACTTGGTGGCCGGCTTTGAATTCCATCCGAATTGGATATCAGCACGCAGCAGCCCAGTCGCTCAGGGGCAGCCCGCGGAAGGATTGGTTGTGACGGGGCGGGCGATTGGTCAGACTGCGAGCCGGGCGTTGATTGGTGCAGGCGGGCTGCGGGGGCGGGGAAGAGGCCGCTGAAGCGAGGCAGGCGGGGCTCGAGTTGCAGTGCGAGAGGGAGGAGGCGACGGCTGCTGGGGCGAGGTGCGAGGCGGAGCGCGCGACGGCTGACTCGAGGAGCGGTAAAGGCGGGGACCGGGCGCGGAGGCTCGGGGAGTGCGAGAGGCCGGGCCGGGGGTGCTCCAGGCAACAAGCAGGCGGGAATGTGGGGCCGAGAGGAGGGAGGCGTCTGGAGGGTATGGGCAGCCGAACCCCGGGCTACCAACCGAATCCGGAGGACTTGCTCTGGTCCCACAACGGACCCGGTGCCGGAGTGTTGGCCCCAAGCTACTTTGGACTCCTCGAGTGATCTTTTTTGAGACTGAGAACCGCCATCAGTTTATCAGTTTGCCTTTTATTTTCTCCAGCTTTTTCTTTAATTATTCTAATAGGATGACTATTTACAGTCGGCAGAATAATAAATTGGGGTTTTTGTTTTCCCGGTTTTCCTCCTTACTAATGCAGATATCCCCCACGGGTTTTGGCTGAAGACTCCCGTGTTAAAGCTACGTTTTTATTCTATTCTCACTTTGAAATGGGTTGGCTTTCTTCACTCATTGGTTAAAAATAAATGTAGCAAGGATGAGAAAATTGAACAAGCTGCTTCAATTCAACAGGCCTGTTACCATGTTTTAGCTACTTCGTAGGTTCTGGTTATTTGGAGATAAGGGAATGAGAGATCCTTGCCCCGTGGAGCTTTCAATGATTTGACTCCTAACGATGTCTTTGAAATAACCTAAAAGTAAGCCTTATTTACGCATATCAAATAGTCAGCAACTGTTTTATATAAATGTCAAGAAATTTCAAAATTGGTTTTTACTGAAAACCATTATCTGCTTCTCTCACCTTGAAATGATCCACATGTCTCCTCTTTACTCGGCTTCCCCTAGAACTGTGGTCTTAAATTCCAACCTCCTTTTCACATTCAATTTGAAGTAATAAAATCAAACACAAATTGGCATTCAGTACTATACAGTTATATCCCTGTTGCCATCATATTTCCTACTTATTTTAAAAAACTATTAAATGTATATTGTAGCAAAATCATACTTTAATCAAAATTAATCAAGTAGATATTCTTTGAGACATAAGCTAACTCAACGCAAACTTCATTTGTAATATGTGAAAAGGAGTTAAGTGAAAATTAGCTCTCGATTCAAATAGACATCACCTAATAAATTCATCCTCGTCATGGACACATTTTCCCACCACATTCCTTCCACCACCAAATCATTAATATTATGTCTCAAACACCATCTACCAGGTGCTCAAATGAGGAACCTGTAGCCAGCTCTTTGGCTCACCCTTGAACCTTTCTGTGAACCGGTTGTTAGATCTTGTGTGTATTCTACCTAGTAAAACTCTCTTCTGTCTCCATCATTGGCACCTGAACTAGCCTCTGAATTGGTCTCCCTACCCCACACTTGCTACCTTCCATTCATTCTCACTACAGAGCCAGCCAAGAATTACAAGCAATGCATGTGTTATGAAGGGATGTTTGGAGTACTATGGAAGCCCATAGTGATGAAACCTAACCGAGCATGGAAAGTTGGGACTGGGGAGGGGGGCATTGGCAGCAGAGCAGGAGGAATATCAGATTTTTTTTTGCCTTGATCTTGATAGTTTCTGAACTGGGGTAAAAATGCTATTAGTTTTTTGAGTCTCCTTAAAGAGGTGCCTTTGTGACTGGTCTTCAGACCACATTGTATACCGCATTGTATGGAAATAACTAATTAGCTGTGTAACCTTAGGGAAATCCCTTTATTTCCCTGGACTTCGGGTTCCCCAGTTGGAACATTATTAGTGGAATCGTATCATTTCTTTGGTCCTTCCAATTCTAAAATTCTGTGGTTTCTTAGGCATGAATTGTGGCCAGAAAGGTGGTGTTAAAAGGCAGCATTAGAGTGCGGATTAAGTTACCACTCTTGTTCACAGGCCTAGATTTGTTTCCCAAAACCTTTAACACCTACAGACAATCTTGCCGGTCAAGATTAAGACCTTCCCTGCCGACAGGAAGCCTCATGAAGGCAGCTACCAAGTCTGTCTGGACTGTTATATCCCCCAGGGCCAACCACACATTGGCTACTCAATATTTATTAGTTGGGATGAAGAAAAATGATTTGTATTTTAATGAGGTAGATTTCAACTCTGTACCATCTAAAAAATCTTTTAAGTTCTAGCTCCCCCAAGCTGTTGCTTTTTTTTTTTTTTAAGATTTTATTTATTTGACAAAGCCAGCGCACAAGTAGAGGGAACAGCAGAGGGAGAGGGAGAAGCAGCCCCCCCACCTCCGCTGAGCAGGGATCCCCAATTCGGGGCTCAATCCCAGGACCCTGGGATCAGGACCTGAGCTGAAGGCAGACACCTAACCAACTGAGCCACCCAGGCACCCCCAGCTGTTGCTTTAACCAAGAATTTATATTGTCTTTTCATTGCCTGTAATTAGTGTGTTGTAATTTGGTGTTTTATCTTTCCTCCTAGACTGTATTTCAGGGCAAGAATTCTCATTCCTACTTGTGTCCCCAGCATGTTCAGCCCGTAACAAAAAGCTAGCACTATTTAAAATGAGGCACTATAATAGTGAAGATGAGCTTTGCACTTTAGAAACCACATAAGAAAATATATGAAGTAACCACTAGATAAAAGAAGTGAACTCTCTTCTGGATACCCAGAATAAATCATCTCTTAATATAACAAAATAGTGGTTTGAGGTTCAAAAATTCAGGACCTTAAGGAAAAATCTTTATGAAACAGCTTGTTTCCTTTCCTTTGGTATATGCAAACATGATACCACCCAAACTTGCACAGAGAGCAGTGAAAGGTTTTATTTACAGCCTAGAAAAAAAGAGAGAAGCTGATTATTTTTTTTTATCCAGTTAGGAAAGGAACCTCATAACTCAAACCCACCTTAAACTCAATCCTTTTCTTCCTACCCACTAAAAAAGGGAGAAAAAAAACAGCCACATTTCTCCATGTCTATACTAAATCTCCAGAAGTGATATACTATATATATTGGATCTTCTAACTGAATAATGAATTGCCTGAAATAAGGAGACACTTGCAAAGGGTCCCTCACCCAGGTAATACAAGGTTTTTCTCTTTTGGGCATGAGTGGGAAAGAGTAGATGAAATTTGTTTAAAACTATTGTCTAAAAACATAGATTTTAAAAACATAGGCAAACTTCTGGTGGTTCTCTAAGGAACTTTATTCATTTCTACTGGTCAGTAAAGCTCTTGAGTCCAGATGCAAAATTTGGTCCTCTGAATGTAGTAAGAAATCCACCTGCAGTCTTAACATTTTTCTCTGCTTCTTGGAGTGAGATTTTTTTTTTAAAGACCTTACTAGCATGAGGAGGGGAGGAGGGCGGAAGGAGAGGGAGACTCAGGGCTCAGTCCCAGGACCCTTCTGAGATCATGATCTGAAGGCAGACACTTAACCAACTGAGCCACACAGGTGTCCCTGGAATGAGATATCTGTGCTAGGTCTCCTCTTCCTTCATCGCTCTTCCTGAAGGGCTTTCAGGGAAAGCACTGTTTCTGTTTTTTTCTTTCCTCCTCAGGAAAAGCACATTTAGAATCAAAGTTTTATTCCTGAGTAGGTCCGATATTAATGAGTAGTTTTTAGCCTTCCTAGAACCAGTTATTTTTAAGGTAAAAAAAAAAACATTTTTTTCTTGGATATCAAATCATCTGGGTTGAATTTTTATACCTAGAGGCAAATCATAGCATAAATTATATTTCCTCACTCATTTTAAAGCAAATTTCATTAAAAGCCACACTGTTTTGTTCTACTAGATTGTACTATCTGGAAGTAGACACTATCTTTAGTTTTTTACCAACCAGCTACAATGCTTTCTACTAGTGTTTGTTTAATTTTGAATTTCCTAAATAAAGACACCAAGCACTGTTCTCAGTTTATGTAAAAGAAAGGGGGGAGGGACTTCTAAAGTCACTTTGTAAGGTTTTTAATATCCAAATAATAACCCAGACTCTGGGTGAGAGGTAACCTCTCTAAGCAGGTATATTCCTCTGTAAAATTGGGGATAACATTTCCTACCTGACACGACTGCGTGAAGATCAATTAAAATGATGGAGGTTAAGTGCCTGGTGGCGTAGTAGTTAGTACATTTATCTTTTCCTCTTTTTCATCTTTAGTGTCACAATAACATCTAGCACCTAGAAGTGCTTAATAGATGTGGTTGACCTAGCCTGCTTGAAGCCAGTCTTGAGGACACAGGCATAACAGATACACAGTTGCATATAGTGTGAACAAGTGCTATCATGGAAGTCTCATTCACAGGGCGGCAGGAGCTACGGAGAAACTCACCTTAAGTCAGCCAGGGGAAATCCCACAAGTCTCAGAAGAAGTGTAGCAGTAGAGCTGAGACGTGAGGAAGGAGTAGTGTTTTGCCAGGGAGACCAGCTGGGCTAAGGAGTATGACCAGGAAGACAGAGGGGACACAGGAGAGCACGTCCTGTTCCCCTAGTAGCAGTGGGATTAGGGTATAAAGCTGTGAAAGTGGTAGGCAGAGATTAGATTATAAAGAACCTTTCATGCCACTAATGAGTTTTCACATAGACAACAGAGTTGCTGAAGAAGTTTGTTCATTCAACAAATGTTTTTTCTTTTTTTCAGTTTTGTGAGTAGAATTTTATTTTTATTAACAATGTATTTGTTTCAGGGGTACAGGTCTGTGATTCATCAGTCTTACACAATTCACAGCACTCACCACAACACATACCCTCCCCAATGTCCATCACCCAGCCACCCCATCTCTCCCACCCCCCTCCACTCCAGCAACCCTCAGTTTGTTTCCTGAGATTAAGAGTTTCTTATGGTTTGTCTCCCTCTCTGGTTTTGTCTTGTTCCATTTTTCCCTCCCTTCCCCTATGATCCTCTGTCTTGTTTCTCAAATTCCTCATATCAGTGAGATCATATGATACTTGTGTTTCTCTGACTTATTTCGCTTAGCATAATACCCTCTAGTTCCATCCACATCATTGCAAATGGCAAGATTTCATTTTTTTGATGGCTGCATAATCCGTTGTGTATGTATACACACACACACACACACACACATATACACCACATCTTCTTTATACATTCATCTGTTGATGGACATCTAGGCTTTTTCCACAGTTTAGCTATTGTGGATATTGCTGTTATAAACATTGGGGTGCACATGCCCTTTCAGATCACTACATTTGTATTTTTGGGGTAAATACCCAATAGTGCAATTGCTGGGTCATAGGGTAGCTCTGTTTTCAACTTTTTGAGGAACCTCCATACTGTCTTCCAGAGTGGCTGCACCAGCTTGCATTCCCACCAACAGTGTAGGAGTGTTCCCCTTTCTCCTCATCCTCACCAACATCTGTCTTTTCCTGACTTGTTAATTGACTGGTGTGAGATGGTATCTCATTGAGGTTTTGATTTGGATTTCCCTGATGCCAAGTGATGTTGAGCACTTTTTCATGTGTCTGTTGGCCATTTGGATGTCTTCTTTGCAGAAATATCTCAACAAATGTTTATTGACTGGCTACTGTGTGCACTGAGGAACAAGACAAAAATTCCTGCCCTGTGGAGTTTACATTCCATTGGGGATACAACCAAAATGAAGACCTCACGGGTTAATATAATGACTTTGGCTTATAATCACAGTGAGATTGAAAACCACTGGGAGGTTTTGAGTGGCTGAGTAACGTTATTTGACTTCAGCTGTTGAGAATAAACTGAATGGACAATGGCAAATGCCGGGATATAATTGATTGCAATAATCTAGACAAGAGATGATGCTTTAGAGCATGGTTGTTAAGACGACCGTCTTAGCAGTAGAGAGGTAAAAAGTGGTCAAATTATGGATAATTTGAAGGTAGAATGAACAGGATTTGCTGACAGACTAAAGGTGCTATTTGAGGGAGAGGATGAGTAAGATTTTTAACCTGAGGAACTGAAAGAATGGACTTGCCATTTACTGAGTCAGCTAAGACTACAGGCAGGGGGTGAGATCAGGAGCTCAGCATTGTACCTGTTAAGTTTGAGGTGCCTATTAGACCTCCAATGGAGACGTTGTCTCCTAGGCCGTTGGGTATACAAACCTGAAGTTCAGGAGGAACGGCCCTAACTGGATCAGTGAATTTGGGAGTTATCAGCATACAGGTGGGATTTAAAGCCAAGCTATGAATGAAACTTGGCGAGATCACTAAGGAAAATGAGGTATAACCCACAAGAGGGCAAAGGACAGAGCCCTGGGGGCAATGCGGTGTTTAGAGGTTACAAGCAAGAGAGGGAAACTGATGGATCAGCTAGAAGCGGGGAAGGAAAACCAGAAGAGTGCTGTTGTGGAAGCCAAATGAAGAAAGGGTCTCAGAGCAGGGGGAGTCCCCAGTTGTGCCAGATAATGGGGGCGAGGGCAGGTAGAGTGAAGATGGAGAATTAACCATTGGACTTAGCCATTGGAAGTCACTGGTGACCTTGGCAAGAACAGTGGGAGTGGATTCAAGAAGAAGAGAAATTGAACACAGAAGTATTAGCACTTACGAATTTTCCTGTAAAAGGAAGGGAAGAAATGAGAAGTATTTGGAGGAGTAAGTGGAATCAAGAAAGGGTTTTCTTTAAGAAACAAGAAACAGTGGCATGTTTGCTGATGGAAAGATAAAGATCCAGTAGAGAGGAAAACATTAACAATGCATGAGAAGGAAGGAGAGCAACACTTTTATGAGAGCCTTCAGTGCCAGGAGCAGAGACCGTTCATCCATGGCCACAGGAGAGGAGGTAGGGATTTGGGCATAGATAGAGGTAGGTGGGTAACTGGTGGAGCTTAGTTAATATTTTCTCTGAATGCTGTACTTTCTCAGTGGCATAGGAAGTAAGACATGAATTGAGAGTGAGGATGGAGGAGGTGCCAGAGGCTTGAGAAGAGACGGTATGAGTTGTCTGGGAGCGTGGGTGAGAGAGGTTATGGAATAAGGAAATACAGTGATGATGTTAAGGTTAGCTTTGCGGATGGGCGCCTGGGTGGCTCAGTCATTTAAGTGTCTGCCTTTGGCTCAGCTTATGATCCCAGGGTCCCTCATCCGGCTCCCCACTCAGAGGTGAGTCTGTTTTTCCCTCTCCCTCTCTGCCCCTCTGCCTGCTTGTGCTTGCGCGCTCTCCTGCTCTCAAAGAAATAAAATCTTAAAAATTAGCTTGGCAGCAAAATGAAGATACAGTGCCAGACAAAAAGCAACAAGGCCAATGGTCTGAATGAAATTTGATGAGCTTCTGAATCAGTCAGGTGCAGTGTTGTTGGAGTCATTAGTTGAAGCTGCAGGTGTGGATGAAATTGCCCAAAGACAGCAGAGTGACAGTAGTAGTGGATAGAGGCCACAGGAAGACAAGCCCAAAACTGCAAAGGCACTTCCAGGGAAAGAGGAGAAACCAAGACGAAGGTGCAGAGGTGAGATTAGATAGGGCTTATATGTGCCATCTAGGTTGACTATCCGGAAAGTTGTAGTTTTGGTGAAGGAGCAGGGCAGACCTCCTTTCAGTGTTAGCTGAGGAATAAATAGAAATCAGGAGTAGAGATAAAGGAATAAAAGAAGTAGAAGGAGCAGAGCCTAAAACTAGGCCTGAAGGGGCGCCTGGGTGGCTCCATTGGTTAAGCATCTGCCTTTCACTCAGGTCATGATCCTGGGGTGAGGCCGCTTATCGGGCTCTCCACTCAGCGGGGAGTTTGCTTCTCTCTCTGCCCTTCCCCCTGCTCATGCACTCGCTCGATCTTTCTCTCTCTCAAAATCTTTTAAAAAAATAAAACTGGGCCTGGAAAGCCATTCCTTGCAGAGACAACAGCTTCTGGAAAGGCCTAGAGGCATGGAAGGGCACAGATAAGCAATTTTAAGTAGTCTGATGTGAACTCTAAAGGTATATTTTTGTAATGTTTGATTCATTTAATTTTTTTGTTCCTTCATCTTACAAAATTGTGATCAATGGGGGCAGCTCAGTTGGGTAGGCATCTGCCTTCGGCTCAGGTCATGATCCCAGGACCCTGGGATCGGGCCTGCGTCGGGCTCTCTGCTTAGCAGGGAGCCTGCTTCTCCCTCTCCTTCTGCCTGTTTGTGTGCACTCTCTCTGTCTAATAAATATTTTTTTAAAAATTGTGATCGATGTATGGTTTTCCTTGGGAGGGGGGAGGGAATGAAGTTTGCCTCTCTTTAGTTATATATGTCCCTTAGCAACTTTGAAAAAATGCCCTGAGACCTTTTACATGAAATAGATTTTGAAAAAAAAAAAGATTTTGAGACAGCTCAGGCCCTTAATATGAAAAGGTTGGTAGTAGTAGTCCTTTTTTTTTTTTTTTTTAAAGATTTTATTTGTTTATTTGACAGAGAGAGACACAGCGAGAGAGGGAATACAAGCAGTGGGAGTGGGAGAGGGAGAAGCAGGCTTCCTGCCGAGCAGGTAGCCTGATGCGGGGCTCGATCCCAGGACCTGGAATCATGACCCGAGCCGAAGGCAGACGCTTAACAACTGAGCCACCCAGGCGCCTCCAGTAGTATTCTTTTTAATAATACTGTAATATGTTCCCATGCCTCTCTGCCAGTCATAAAGGTATAGGATGAAAGCTTCTTCTTTTCCCTCATTTACTTATTTCAGGGTGTAAATCTGAATACAGCAGAAAATGTCCACTGAACGAACTTCTTGGACAAGTTTGTCCACGATTCAGAAAATAGCACTGGGCCTTGGGATCCCAGCCAGTGCAACGGTTGCCTATATCCTATACCGCAGATACAGGGAAAGCAGAGGTATGTGAACCCCACAGCTGTACATATGGAAATGTTCAGAATGTGCTCTGGCCTTATTAAATTGAAATGAAAATTTTCCTTGCTGGACTGGGTTTGTCTGTTGGGATGTAATTGGCTTTCTGTGAGGGATCTTTGAAACGGTTTTGTTTCTTCTATGTTCTTAATGTGCAGCGAGTCTATGAAATGATAAACTCATTTGATAATTCTCTTTTGTTCCCTTCAACAGCAGCACCACAATGCGTTCTTTTTTCTTTTTTTTTTTTTTTAGCATCTATACTCATCTTTTTTATATGCTTCTTGTGTTTAGTTGTTAGAAGGCTAACCATGGGATCCAGTTTCCCCACAGGCTGAACCTAGAGAAAGGATTTAGGTACAAATGGAAGTTCTGAGCCCAGTGGACTCCTTGGGCAAATTTTAACCTTCATTCTTCTCCAGGAGTCCTCTGCTGGGAGATCCAGTTTGCCCAAAATCCAGCACCCCCTCCTTGCAGATCCTAATACTTTCCCCATTTTAGCATCTTTAATAGTATCCCAGAGATAATGCCCATGTTCTGGTCTTCTGGGACCCTCTCATTCCTACTCAGATGCTACTTCTTGTCATTATGGTTGAGATTCTCGGTCTATCTCGTGGATCATTCTCTTTGACAGCTAGCTTCGGGGGGGGGGGTGCTGGGGTACCTTGGATGCTATCTAGGTCTGATCTGATGAGTCATGATCCGTGCAGAAGAGCGGTTGACATTTGTTGGGGAGGACGACATTGAGATAGAGATGCGAGTTCCCCAGGAGGCCGTGAAGCTCATCATTGGCCGGCAAGGAGCCAATATTAAACAGGTAAGTGTGCAAGCAAGCAGTTGGGTTTCCCAGAGACGGATTTTGCTTAATCTTGCTTTCCTTCTCTGCCCCCATCCCACACTATGTATGTCTTTAAAAGAAAAAATACAGGGACTTTTAGTTAACTATGCTCTTTTCCTTCTAGAGAGGAGTACTTCTCCCTAGAGCGTGAATGACTCAGCTTGAAATGGGGACTTTTGATTGCATGATTCTCAACTTGGTGTAGCTTGAACCATTCTTTTCTACTATGGAATTAATGAGCTCTTGTTAATTGTTAGTAAATGTTGAGTTGCTACCTAATTCTTCTACTGTTTATTTGGAATGTCAAAACAAAATATTTGATTCTCCAAAAAAAAAAAATTGGGGGGAAAGAGGGTTCTAAACACAAAGAGAAACTGTTTTGAATTAACTGCTATTTGAGATTAGCTTTGTCACTAATCTCCTTTCATAAGTACAGGTAATTGAAGACTGCTGATAGCATCCTGATTTAGCTGATTACTGTCCAGTTCCATCTACCTCCAGGGTTAGGTTGAGAGAGTACCTTGCTGACCCAAACAGGAGCTGTTCCAGAGCGTACAGCCGTGTATCCTTTTCTCTGCAGTTGCGGAAACAGACAGGTGCTCGGATTGATGTGGACACGGAGGATGTAGGCGATGAACGGGTGCTGCTTATCAGTGGGTTTCCTGTTCAGGTGTGCAAGGCCAAAGCAGCCATCCATCAGATCCTGACAGAGAATACCCCCGTGTCTGAGCAGCTCTCAGTTCCCCAGAGATCTGTGGGCAGGATCATAGGTACCACTGGACAGCTTCCTTTTTTCTTCACCTCTGCCTTCTTTCACACCTTCCCAAGGATTTTTCCTGGCCTACTTCCCTTCACCTTGCTAAGGGGGGGAAAAAAAAGACAGGGACATTGATACCAGAGCTTTAGTTTTTTATACAACCTGTGGTAAAACAAAACCCATTACCTCAAGAAGTTATGTGATCTGAACCTTACAAATATGTTCCAGAAGGGCTCAGGTAAATGTATTTACCTCATAATAGATATGTAAAGGGAAGCTAAACCTGCTCATGTTATCCCAGATCTTTCAAGATAGTGCTTTTCTAGAGCACACCTGTTATGCCTTTGCCAAGGCAGCATTCCTTATGCTGCTATTAGAGGTAGAGAAATGTCCATCATTGGCCCAGTGTTTCACACACAGTGTGGGATATCTTCTGAAGTGTAGGTGTAAAGTATGCTGAATGATCAAAAAATGTAAATGACATGAAGTTACACTAACCAAGAATTTAAGCAGAAAGAGCAAATATTCCCTAGTCCCCCTTTACAGTAAGGATTGCAGTAGCTCCTGCTTCTATTCAATATCTTACATTTTGTTCACTTTGGAAATGAGAACAGACTTCTCTCCCAGCTTATACAAAATAGTGATTTCTCTAGTAGTTACGTTTGACCAGGAGGGAAGGACAGGTTTTTATGTGTTTTTCAATGCAGGGAGAGGTGGGGAGACTATTCGTTCTATCTGTAAGGCCTCTGGAGCCAAAATTACCTGTGACAAAGAATCAGAGGGGACATTGCTACTATCAAGACTGATAAAAATCTCAGGAACACAAAAGGAAGTGGCAGCAGCCAAGGCAAGTAGCTAATAGATTTGAATTGTGTCTAAGAATGAGAACCCTTTACTCCATCCTGGGTGAAAATATCTGGCCACAGAGATCTCGTCTCTTACCACAGCATTTGATATTGGAGAAAGTTTCAGAAGATGAAGAACTTCGGAAAAGAATTGCTCATTCTGCAGAAACCAGAATCCCACGCAAGCAGCCAATCAGTGTAAGAAGAGAGGAAGTGACAGAGTCTGGTGGAGCTGGAGAGCCAGCTTTGTGGAAAAACGCTGGTACTGGTGCAGAGGCGGAGCCAGCTACACCACCGGGAGCTCCTCCCCAAAAAGGAGGCGGTGACACGGCTGTTGTAGGGCCAGAAGGTGCTTGGGAGAAACCTAATGGTGACAGCTTTCAGAAATCTGGAGCCCAGACCAGTCCAGAGATGTCCATGTTTGAAAGTATGTAACAAAGTGGGAACCCATTTGCCATATGGAAGGTAGAAATACTGGCTTAGATAACCCAAAATAGGAAGCAGTAAAAACAATTTATTTTCTTGATTGCACTTATAAGTCTCTTCACAGATGTCCCTTTGTGTGGTAATATTTTACTTGAGTTAGTACTAAACATAAATAATTTCTGAACACAGACCAGCTAGTGATGGAGAATGAAAGGAAATATGCTAGTTCATGGGGCCCCTGGCTGGCTCAGTCAGTAGAGCATGTGACTCTTGATCTCAGGGTTGTAGGTTTGAGCCCCATCTTAGGTGTAGAGATTACTTAAAATCTTAAAATGTGCTAGTTCACAGGAAATAGTCTGAATATAACCAATAATTGAATTTACATGATATTCTTTCACAGATTTATTAAATAAGTAAAATACGCAGCCTGGTTTGTTTTTTGTTTTTTGTTTTTTTATTTTTGGCTTATCTCATTACTGTTTTTAAAAATCATCACCATTAAGAATGAAACGACTGTGAGCACTCTCTTCTGTGCATAGGTTCTGGGATGGGGGCAGGGAAGACCAGGGCCCCTGAGAGGTTCGAAGACTTGTCCAGGGTCACATAATGAGTCAGTAATAGAATGAGATCTGGAACAGGCCCACATCTTTCCACTGGTCCATGCTGCAGCTAGCATATGGAGGATTTACCTTTGTTATAATTGGTGTCTGATTTGAATACATGGCAGATGACTAGGAATGTAAACTCTCTTACTGCTCAGTTACATAGAAAGGTATACAGCTCAACTTAGGACCTGTCTTCAGGATGTTCTTATGTGATTCATCCAGTTGTCCCTCCAGCCATTTTTTAAATGGTAATAGCCACTTGGTGTTTGTATCTCTCACCTCTGAGACAGTCTCCCCATTTCAACCAGAGATGGTTCTGATATGGTCACCAGCTTAGATGGTGAGGATTCTGTAGCTTAACTTGTTTATCCCTATGTTTAGTCCCCAGTCCTGACTTCAGTTTCCATGCCGATGAGTTCCTGGAGGTCTATGTCTCTGCCTCTGAACATCCCAACCACTTCTGGATCCAAATCATTGGCTCCCGCAGCCTGCAGCTGGATAAGCTTGTCAGTGAGATGACCCAGCACTATGAGAATAGTCTAGTGAGTTGCCATAGGGACAGGGCTGGGTTTGATGAAAAAGGGGCCTATCTCTTTTTCATTGTGATATGTTCTCTTCTCCTGGGAAGCAACTACTTGTTTGTTCTTCCTTCTGGTACTTCCTGCTTATCTGTTTTTTAGCCTGCCCATCCTAACCTCCCGTCCTGATCCTCATCCCCATGTGCAGCCTGAAGACTTGACTGTGCACGTGGGAGACATTGTAGCAGCACCTTTACCTACAAATGGTTCCTGGTATCGAGCTCGGGTCCTTGGCACCTTGGAGAATGGGAACCTGGACCTCTACTTCGTTGACTTTGGAGATAATGGAGATTGCCCACTGAAGGACCTCCGGGCACTCAGGTCAGTGTGGAGGCCAGGGTGGAGTCCCAGTTGTTAACTCAGCCTTGGCCATAGCTGGTGGTGTGCTCTTGGCACTCATCGTATAGGGGGATTGGGAATAGAACCAATTTACAGAGAGCAGATGATTATCTTCTCCAGCTGGGTTAATTGGTGATCTCTAGAAACAAGGACTATAAGAGACCCTTCTGTCGCTGGGATTCTAATTTCAGTTTCTTTCACCTTAGGAGTGACTTCCTAAGTCTTCCATTCCAAGCAATAGAGTGTAGTCTGGCACGGATCGCCCCCTCAGGTAAATTGGTCACATGGCCTATTGACCTTGCCTCTACATAGAATAACTTTCATAGGGCACATGGAAGGAATTCTCACATTCCCAGACTTTGAGTTCTGGGGCTCAGGTGTCTTTTCCTCCCCAGCAGTAGAAAGCAGCAGCCTGGCAGGCAGACATAGGTGGCTTCTGGGGTAGAAAGGGGTGGTTCCAATTTTCCTCCAGGGTGTAATCTCACCCCGTCAGCAGGGACCCCTTCTTAGGTTCTCCCTGCAATCTTTTACCAGGTGAACAGTGGGAAGAGGAAGCTTTGGATGAGTTTGACAGACTCACTCACTGTGCGGACTGGAAGCCCCTGGTGGCCAAGATCTCCAGCTATGTCCAGACTGGGATCTCAACTTGGCCCAAGATTTACTTATATGATACTAGCAATGGGAAGGTACGACTGGGGTCCACTCATTGCTCACTGTCTCTTCAGTATATTTATAGTCTCATTCACTTTTTCTTTCCTAGAAACCCTTATCTGATACTACTCCTACCTCCTAAGATCCTGCTTACTGTCCCACTAAAGGAATGTCTTTGAAGTATCCTAACTCTTCTGTCCTAATTCCTCATGTATTCCCATCCCTACAGAGAGAACATCATTCCCTTTTCATTTTTCTTCTCAGAAACTTGATATTGGGTTAGAATTAGTTCGTAAAGGATATGCAGTTGAGCTCCCGGAGGATGTGGAAGAAAACAGAGCTATCCCAGACATGTTGCATGACGTGGTGAGTGAGCCATTGTGGCTACATGTAGGGTGCTGCCTCAGGGCAGATCTCTCACCTAGAGAGACAGGAGGGCTTCTGGTCCTTCGGGCATTCTGTGGAGGGCTTTCCTAAGGTGTTGCTCCACAGGTTGCTCAAAGGAAGAATTGTGTCCCTCTTGGCAGCCAAACTCAACTGCCTTAACCAGATCCTATGGGCAGAATGATGGGGGTGGCCTCTCCTTTCCTACCAGCCAACACTGTGTTCTTCCCTTCTCTCTTGTCTTCATCCTGCAGGCCACAGAAACCGATGTGTCTCTCGGCAGCGTGGTCGCTGAGACCAAGAAGAGCCCTGGAGAGATAGCAAATACCCTGTCCTGCCTCAGCTTATCAGGTACAAGCTGCATTTCCTCCCTAGAGCATCTTTGGAAGTTACTGGTTTTCAGTGATTCTCTCTGAACCGGGAATGATGTGAAAGCTTGGCTCTTAACCAAAGTGATCACTGAGGGGCGCCTGGGTGGCTCAGTTGGTTAAGCGACTGCCTTCAGCTCAGGTCATGATCCTGGAGTCCCGGGATCGAGTCCCGCATCAG